ATCCTTAGAGAAAGAAAATTTTACATCCCTCAACTAAGGTCTGGAAAGCTTATCGGTGGTTTTCGTAATGCTTTTCTTGACCTTTAGTAACGCTTCAAAAACGTTACTATATGTAATCGTACCCAAAGTCTTTAGTAATGCCTTTCAAAAGGGTTAATTCAAGTAAAATTATAGTACCAAGATATGTTTTTCTTGACATTTAGTGGCGCTTTTAAATATTCTCTAGGTGTTGTTTAGTTTTTAAGAGAAGTGGTACAAAATATGCACAATATGATGCTTTTTTGTGCAATATTACCTTCCCTTCTTCCATTCGGTTATATCTCCATTTAATTTCATTATGCTTTATGAAAACAAAGAGATTATCAACATCGTCCTTTTACCGGTTTCCCACTTGGAATCATAGAAATATATTGGAATTTGATAATGACGTCAGATTAACATAAATGGAAAGAATTAACGGTAAATCATAAGTAAAGTTTTTCTTATATACGAAAACTTGTACTAATCTGTAGGGTAAATTGGGGGGTCTAATTGTAATTATCTTATATCTTATACTAGCTTATTGAACATATGTTACACAGATAATAACATATACAACTTAATAAACACACAACAAGGTTTAAATTTATAAACCTAACTCAAATCAGTAAAGGGTAAGTCGGGTATCGTTCTCCTCAGGGAGTCAGTGGTCAAACTAATTATTTGTGTTAATTGGATGCATGTATGTCACTTAGATAGACTACTCAATTAAATCAATAAAAGCTCAAGACTCGAAATTGAAATCTAAATAGTACAATTAACGCTAACAAAATCAAGCTTTGTAAGGAATTGCGTTAAAATTAAGAAACAAATAAATAGAAGATCTTTTTGGCTTTTTTTTATAAAGAACGAAATTGAGAAAAAAAAAAACGAGTTCTAACGATGAGAAAAAGTCAAGGTCAACCGTCTTTTACTAACAAAGTGTTTCACCAATTCAATTTGTTTTCATGCAATATCCAAATCAACATGTTAAGGGACCGATCCAGACCTCGGCATAATCTATGCCTATCCAAACCAACTGTCTTCCCACCTACACTATTGTGTTTAGTATGGTCGGGGGATACCAATGGACTATATAAGTTTTGTCAACCAATTACTAAAACACGTTTAACTTAAACACATATAGATATACCATAGATTAACCATCAAGTCTCGACAAAACCTGGACAATCCCATCCTAAACGACATATCCATATATTTTGTGCAAAATATAACTAATAGAAACAAATCAGAAAACCGTCCTAAACAAATCCTCGTGATGATTCCGTACGTGTTTTGATGCTCCCGTCGATCGATGTTTTGTCCCCTCCTCTTTTTTTTTTCTTTTCTTAATATTCCAGCTGCATTGACTTGTACTGTAGACAGATGATGTCGTGACTTGTACTTTGGTTTTTCATTTACTTTCTAGCAACACGTTTTTGCCTTCGACGTCAATTTCGGCTTAGATGTAGCCCAAATCTGCAGAAACTCAAAACTTTGAAGCTATAGGGTTGTTTGTTGGCTTTTCAGATCATCTTGAATCAATTAAATCCAAGCTCGAACCAGTGAGATATGCTCGAAATATCATAGCCTTGCAAAGCTGTCAAAAATCCTCTTTTTATCCGTCTTTCGTCCAAACCTATCAAAATACAAAAACACATTAATGTAGTTCGTTTTTACCATTTTAACGCATTAATGAGGTATAAATGACGACAAAATAGAGTCGAACTACTTAGCGACCGATCATTACGTAAATAATAACTTATACAACTTAATAAATTTTTATTAATGCACACAACATCAACTCTGTTAGAACTGTGTATAGGACTGGATATAACTCAAAAATCATGTCGGAAAACACTTTCCAAATACAATAATTCGTACCTATTAGCTTTGAGTTCACGAATCTCGTATTGGGATAATTCTTGAGGTTATTCTTTCGTTTTCAAAGGATGTGAAAAACRAGATATATACAYAAATTCTCGTTTTACATATTTAAATGAGAGATCACGGTTATTGGTGGTTGAAGGCCTTTCAGCGGCMGTTGAAGGATCTTCAATGACAGTTGAGGGCTCTTCAGCGATAGTTGAGGACTCTTTAGCGACAGCTAAAGCCAATCAATGATAGGATATGATCTGATTTCTGATTTAGTAAAATTCCAGCAATACCACCGCCAAGGGGCTCAGCCTCTTGGAACCCCACCAGAGGCGCTGCGCCTAGAACCCCCCAARGGGGYGCGGCCCCYTGKCCCCACCTTTATGCCGATCTAAGGTGATACGAGCAACATTTGTAAGTGTGCACTCCACACAACCTAACTTATGTATGCTTGCGTTATCGCTTTAATCGATCTCAAAGTAAATCACAATTACACCAAAATGCTTGATGACAATAAAATCACCAACAACCTCTAAATAATTATTGCTTTTAGAATTCGAGCATTGCTTTTTTGTGCCTTGATACACTTCAGATTAATCTTGGATCAGAAACTCAATTTTTACCATCTCTCTAATTGCCATTGTTCTTTTCTGTTAGCACATATGAACATCTCGATGGTGGTAGAATCAAGTAGCACGRAATTGATCTGTTATAGAAAYGCCATAAATCCCCTWTCGGGATTAAAGTTCGCTAATATATATTACATATCAAGTCCATCTTATCTTGCTGGATCCTAAATTGGAGTTCAAAGCCTAAAAGGAAAATACTCCAGAGCTTCTTGAGAGCCATTTTCTGGTGTCTTTAAGCTTAGGAGAAGATCCAGCAACATCCAGAAGGTTGGAACATCCAACTCAACACACTTCACTAGTACAAACGGGTTGATCAGATCACATTGTGGCCCTTTCATCGCTAAATTAGGACTTTTTCGTCACTAATTTGCATTGTGGCCCTTTCATCGCTTATTAGAAGCCTTGGCATATAGACATGAGTTGATAAAACTATCTCCTTGTCACTACAAGATCGCAATTGTTAATTAGTACATAAACTAAAAAAAATATAAATAGAAGATGGTGGATTAGTATTACGATGACATACAAGACTTCTAGTTTGCTAGTGTCAAGTGGCACTTAGAGTTCCTCCAAACACTTCAGTAGGAAATCCTAAATAAAGCTTCCCAATGAAGTGCTCGAAGGAACTCATAGGGACACTTGACGTTTCCCTTCATATTACAATTAATTCCTTTGTCATAGTTACTAGGTGTATATATATAGGAAACAGTTGAGAGAATTATAAAGCGTTTGATCATAGAATATGCATGCATTCGATTAGAAGCTTGAACATGGTCGGCATTGTGTCTTCCTTAAGAGATTGATGTTTTCATCGAAGTGGGGATACTTTCTGAAAATGACAAGCGAGTGAGGATCGAACCAGAAGAAGAAAGGTATTATATTCTCATTTCATCATCTATCCATAYATACGACTAGGTTCAGTTTCCGACTGCCCGCATTTCTTTGGAACTCTATTCTAGATTTACGTATTAACAATCATTCCAAACTTGTAGTTCTCTCATYGTCAATATTTTGATCTACTTTATGATGTTGGAATCGTGTATTTTGTATTCAAAACCTTGTCGATTACATAGAGAATGCCAACTTCGATATGCTTTGTTCTAGAATGAAATATTGGGGTTAAAKCCCGTTGTGTGCTCTTAGGTTGTCACACGATATGATGGATGGTTGATTGCATTTAGTTCCCTATTTCTTTACAAAGGRATTGAAGTMAAATGATTTCAGTATAGCATTATGGCATGGATCTGTATCGAGCATTTGTATCAGATCTTGATACTGCTCTTTGTTTCTTARGAGACCAACCGCTAAGATCACCTTCAAGATACTGGATTAGCTGACGTAGACTAGCTTATGTTTTGCGTTTGGTTCAGATGGTCCGAAAATTAAGCTACAAACTTCAATTCAAAACAATGATAAATACGTGACTTTTGCCAACAATTGGATGTAGGAACAAACTTGGATCGGGGCAGAAACAAGATGAATAACTCAATGAGAGAAAGGGATCACCCAACGAACGGACAAGCTCAAAAGGGGGGGTGGGGTATGTCCACACGAACGAAGGAAGTTTATAATGTTTATTAGCCAAAAAGTAACTGAAACTAAAAGAAGGATTACAAACCCAAATCACTTTATGATTTAAACTCTTAATTCTATCAAAGTTGATTCTCTCACATTGTTTCTCTTTAATTTTCATGATTATCAAATGGTAACACAAGGGTTGTATTTATATCAATGTTTTAAAAGGCTCGCCACAACAGCCACCATGGCATGTTGTGGCTCAAAGTTCGTATCTGACGCCATGTTATGCTCGTGGTACGACATGGCTCAATGCATGGTACACTGTGTCTCAAGGCTCGTCTATGACGTTATGTTATGCCCATGGAACGCTATGGCTTAATGCATGGTTTTTGTAATAGGATATTTAATTTTTCTTTTACCTTTTTAGTTTTAAACATATAACCTAATTTAAATTGTTTAATATCAATTACTCGTTGATTAATAGTATAAAACATATGTGCAATTATATAACTATATATAAGATATACAGATCTGCCGACATAAGGCACATCTTGAAAAACGTTGTGGCCTCACCATGGTTCCTAAGGCTTGAAACTTGACATTGCTGCCACGTCAAACCTTACGTTTTTTTGAACCTTGATTTGTATAGCTAACTCTAATATTCCCAACTCCCAACATAATCCAAAAGCTAAAAACTAGGATTTTCGCATTATCCCTTGGCATGGTCGTCCCCTTGTAACACGGTCGTGTCAACTTTCAAAATCGTTCCTGTTACCTATGTAGAACCGAAACGGATACGATGACACTTTTAAAATACCCATATCCAAAATGGAAACGTTATATTCGATTTAGATAGTTTAAAGAGTAAATTGCACCAAAATGTAAGATATACTATACACACACACATGTTCTGAATCACTTGCATCATCATGCTGCATAACTGAATTACAAGATGGCAAAAGATATCAACATAGACCCATTTCATATATAGCTCCAGAAGACGAACGTTAAAAAAGCACATGATTCTTACATGTAAATTCTGCAAACTCTTTACTATCTTCTACTTGATCTATTGTAACAAAGACCAATTAACCCACGAAGGCTGAGGTTATCAGAAAGGCACCAATTAATCAAAATCCAAGATTCGAGCGGAGTACACAAATTTCTTGAATTGCAACTGTGAAATGAATCCTTCATCGTTCTTGAGAAGAGGCAACCTTTCGAAAGACGAAAGACATCTAGACGAAACAGTAATTTCACAATCAGAGGTGACCAACAAAATCTTATTAGTGTAAAATGAAAATTAACAGAAAGGAATTTGGTGTATGTTTGTCGACATCTTATAACTGTTCATAATCTAAAGATGAAACAAATCTCAGGTTCATTTGGGAATATAACAAATGAAAGATGCCAAAAAATTGGCTCAATCATAATAAAATAAGGTAATCTTGTTCCAAAATCAATACCATCAATAATTTAGCCCCCAAGGGGWTGTTTCCACRAGAACTAGGTGTCTCATGAAGCATCAGAGTTTAACTTCAAATGCCACTAGATGCTATCGACTCCTTAAGGACCATGTCTGCCTAGGGTTTGTTCAGACCACGTGAAAAAGGCTCTTTGCATGAACCCCATGATTAGTTGGGTCAAAGGCACCACATATAAGAGTCTCATAAAACACATACCAACAATATTTGCAACTCCAATTTCAAGCAAAAGGCGTTCAAGATGCCCATGTTTTGACCTAAACAAACCAAACGAGCCAAGTATATCCCACCCAAAGGCAAGATTCCCGTTTATTTAGTTACCATTGTTGATCCCTACCCACCAATGTACAACATAGTTTGACTTAGGTACGATCTCTTCTTGGACAGTAATTATCAATTTGTTGGTCTTCGTATCCACCCCAATCTCAAATATAAGATGAATAACTAGAGTTAGGGAAGATAAAACATGAAAGCATGTATGTTGAAGCCAAATTAATTTAAAGCACAACTAAATATTTCAAATATCCTAACATTATTTATTAGTTGCCACAAGGCACCCCTACAACTAATGGTTCTTGATCATTGAAACAGTAACCAACCCTTTTCTGTCCTTGTGGAAAGCATAAACGACAGGACTTGATAACCCCTGAAAAAGTGTTATACATTATAGCCTCGTGCATAATTAAAATGGGTAAGTTTCGTGCAACGTCAAGTCCTTCATGTTTCAAGGACAGCATACATTGTATCTCATTTTCATAACGATTTCTATTCAAATTTTTAATCCTTTCATAATCTACTTGCAAGACTAACATATTGATGGAGCTATTACAACCCACTGTGTAATCAGTGGATCTATTTGCTTCCATAAATCATCCATTAAACAATCATCCATTCTTATCAACAACTAGATACACATGACATTTATTGTTAGAGATTAAAACCCTAGATGGTAGGGAATCACTGCACAAATTCTTACCCAATGTGCATCTTGCTTCTCTTAGGAGCCGTTTACTAAACACTTACCCGGTAAAATTCGATATTACCATTTACTTACCGGGTAAGATTTTAGTCAACAAAAACGGCTTTTTCTTCGTTTGTATCCTTTGCTGCTAATTACTTGATGTGTTTGGTGAATAGAAATGCCATAGTTACATGTATATATAGAAAGAGTTGAGGGAAAGTGTCTGGTCGATGAACACGGATACACTAGAAGTTTGAACATGGTTGGCATTGCGTCTCGATTAGGAAAAATGATCTGATAATGAGATGCTGTTGTGAGGACCAGGTGAATAGGGGTATTATATTCTCATTTCATCAACTATCCCTTGGAAACGACTAGGTTCAAACTCTGACTTGACACTTATTGGCATACGATTCCACATTGGCATAAAGATGTACATTAAGTCATTAATGATCACAGATAGCTTGACTGGAAGAAACTATACCTTAGCTTGGATCCAGAAGAAGAATCAACTACAGGTGATGAAGGGCAAATCAAATATAGCGTTAAGGATAGGGGAAGAGGCAGGGTATGCAAGACCCTGATCCCATTGAACTTTTTGTGAAAGATACCCTACTAGCAGCTTTGATATGCTAATACTCTTATAAGCTCCCTTGACCATATATCTCCAAACAGTCACCTTCAACCATCGCCCTCCCACTATAACAGCTTAATCATGTACAACTTAATAACAGTTTTGTGCGTTTTTACACTTCAAAATCTTTGGTTGGTAACTCAACTTTTACCATTTCTCTATAATTGCCATTGTTCTTTTTCGTTAGCACATATGAACTTTCCTATGGTGGTAGAATCAAGTACCATGGGATTGATTTGGTATTAGAAATGCCATTAATCTCCCAAGTGCATTTTAGGAATTACAATACGTTGATATATATTACGTTTGCAATGAGTCTCAATGAAGATTTTCAAGAAAATGAATATCATTTAGTATTCACAATCAGAGTGATTGTTCTTTTTGTTGCTTGGTCAATTGGCATGTCCTATGCAAAAAAGTAGCTGAATCAATCCATCAGGTTCTTGTAGCTAGGTTGTGATTGATCACTCCTATAAATGAAATTTTGCTTTGTTCTTCAGCATTCAATATCAAGTCCATCTTATCTTGCTGGATCCCAAATTGGAGGTCAAAGAATAAAAGGAAAATATTCCAGAGCTTCTTGGGAGCCATTTTTCTGGATGAGGAGAAGATATAGGAATATTCGAAGGGGTGAACCATACACCTCAACACACTTAGCTAGTTCAAAAACGTTAATCTCGGTTGAAATAGCAAATTGTACCCAAAGATGCAAATGGGTACCACCATGCATATCATCTTGTATGGAATCATTACCTCTAGATGACATTTTAAGGCTAGATCCCGGTCTCCCACGAGGGATAGTTAAAACATAATGTTAATTTGATAAGGATATATTGAACAACTATGGTACATTGGAACCCAGTTTAGAATCCAAAGTTTACATGTTCGAAAGGAAAATGGTTCCAGGCTCTCGCTCGGCTCACTCCCAACTGTCTTCATCCAACCTTCGTTGAGACTTCTTTTAGTTTCCCTTAAGTGGATTTTGCTTAGTTCAAGACTCTTCCGCCGGAGTTGCACCGATCAAAGTTGCATGAGAATGCTAAAACAATGAGTTTGAGGGTATGTGTGTACCCATCCTGGATCATGTCTAAAACCACAGTTTCCTTTTACGGTGGGCTAACTTTTTTTTCTTTTTCTTTTTTTCATCAAAGATAAAGGAGATGCCAACACCCATGACCATGACCACCAAATATGGCACTTTTGACTTTGGCATATTCCTCCATGGCAATGAACAACTACATTTGCACATGACCATGTACTTGAACCCAGATCGAAGACGTCTTACCATTGAAATGTGCACAAACCAATAATTGCCATTTGCCAAGAACTTTCATAGATCAGATTAGATCCCTGCGTATCAGTCTTGGATGAACCAATCTAATGTCTACGAGGTCACCCACATCAATTGCCACCAAGCCACTACCATTTCTACAAATGCTCAATGCTCTTGCACACTATAACATAACAAGATCTATGTTATGTATTCCAATTTCTTATGGCACCTAAAATAAACAAAACAATACCCAATAATTATCTACTCAAGGATGGTATTCTTAATCTGAAACAGATCTGTTGCAACATATTTTCCCTTTGATGCGAACCACTTGGACCAAAAGACCTGAAGCTACCAATTTTTTCAAATAAAAAATACACCAAAATGTTTGGATTATTCAGTGGGATCTTGGTGAACTAGTTTAGTGTTACAACAACATTCATTTAATGATCTTGTTCACAGGGCATTAATAAGTTTGTTGTTAACCGATAAACTAATCATGCTAATTAGATGACAATATAAAGTTACGTAAAAGAATATTTTTTTCGCCTTTTATATAAAATATAAGAGGCATAAAAGAAAAAGGTGGATGACCTAATGCGGTTCTTCAAAATATGCTTATAAGCTAATTTACAGTATACAAGCGGGGTTTTTTCAATAAACTAGAAAAATAAGCTAGCTTATGGTTACCAAACAAGCTTTGGGAGTGTATCCTGATGTGTTTTAATATTTATAACCGCAAGTGTACGGGTTATGTAGCATACGGGTCGATCATAGGGAGGTGACAATCTAAACACTAACCACTTAATGATCATCGCCTAGCTAGTTATGCGAATCAGATAACTGATTTGATTATTGAACTAATTGAACATAAAATAAACGAGATTAAGGGAAGAAGGTAAAGCAAGAAGGAACTAATAGTAAAATGAAGCAAAAACAAATGACAATTACAACTAAGGGACACTGGATAATGTCAAACTCGGATTTTGGCAATGGTGAGAATTCGATATGCAAAACTACTTCAACCCTCTTTCGAGGTGGGAAAGCTTTTCTAAACCAAGACATATATTTACTTTCGAAATATATGTACATTGGCAAGAAACTTTAGGATTTAAAACGAATATTTTCCCCAATCAACGTCCCTAACTATTTGCATGTTGGGACCGTTGTCATCGATCAATTTAATCCAAGTAGAAGACTAAACCATCGTTTTCATCAAAAACTAATCAAATCAACAAAATGTTTTGTTAAAACCAATTAAATCAACTCCAACTTTCTTTAGAATTCTAATGGATTAAAATCCAACATCCGTTTTAAGAACAATTGGTCAATACTGAAACCTCGATCCTAAACGACGATTACCCAATAAGACGAATACTATATTAAAACCAAGAAACGATTTAGGTATCTAGATCCCAATAAAAATGAAGATGAAGTAAATATAAACTAGTAAAATAACTACATTAGACACTACCTATTATCAATTAACATTAACCAAAAACAAAGATGAGAAATGAATAATTAGACAGACATGCGCAAAAAATTAACTAAGCGCAGGAGTTAAACAAGCGCAGAAAATTAAGTGACTTGATCTAATGTGCAGAAAATCATAAGAGATGCAAAAATTAATTGATTCGCAGTAAATTAAAGTAGGGAATAAGGAGTAAGATGCATAAACATAAAAAGGAACGAAGTAAAGGACAGAGATCTGCAGAAAATTGAACTTTGATGCAAACTAACAAGAACATAGAAGGATTGAAGAAGAAAACTCAAAAAACGATTCATTAAGTCATAAAATTCAAACAAAACATGAAGTAATCAAATAACTAAAGGGGTAGGGAATAAGACACTCAATAACGTAGGGAAAAACCAGATGTCAATCGGGTCTCCAATTGTCTAAGTTTCAAAATCGAATCTTCTTCCCCAAGATTGAAAGAGTCGACCAAAAACTTGAGAGAAAAACCAAAGAAATCGTGTTCTAAGGAATAATACAGCTCTCCCAAACAAAAAACCCTAAAAAGAAATAAATAGGCAAGCCAAAAGTACCAAAAAGCCCTTCAAAATTCGGCTATCAGGCGCCTTTCACGACCATGAAGAAACCCCTTCATGGCATGAAAGCAAACATAAAGTTTAAGGTTTGTTTCCTGACAAGGTTCATAAGGTTTGTTTCCTGACAGGGTTCACAGCAGTGAAAGTTGGGTTCACACCCGTGAAAGCAAACATAACACAATCTTCATTTCTGAGGGGTTTTCTTCGTGACCCTGAAGGCTATCCTCCGTGCCCG